AACCATTTTTTATTATTAATTATTTCTTATTGGCCCTCCAAAAACCGACAAAAAATACAATAGGGGTATACTCGCAGTCTTGAAATGCCCTTGCACGGTGCACGGTTGGCAAAGCTGTTCCACATGAAAACCGGTTTTTACTGTGCAATCCATGCAATCCGTGCACCGTACGAGGGCTTTGCAAGACTCCGAAAATACCCCTTTGAAGTCTGCTGAAGAGGAAGTAAGTTTGCCGATTGAAAAGTATTAATTTTCAAGGATTGTATTTCATTTTTGCCAAAAATTTATTTACATGGGAAACTTTGAGCGATCTCTAAATACTTTTTGACAAAAAAAATCGGAGGATATCATTTTCAATATATGTGGAACACTCCTAGCGGGTGAGTGCATTCAAATTCCGGCTTTCATTGCTTTTTGCATGCCGTTTTGGAACACCCTAATGTACATACGTTCTCACCGCAGGTGCACAATAACCTTTTGTTTATGTCGGCCTAACTGGGCGGTCATATTTTTCCTATTTCCCTTTTCAATATAAATTAATTGGTCTCAGTCGACAATAACGGGAGTGTACTACATGCGATTAGTCTCTTGAAAACTATTGGTATTGGCTATACGACAATATGTGACTGTAAAGAAAATCTTATATTGGTTGTATCCCATATTAAATTTAAGAGTTTAGGATCTACTTTAACTTTTTGTATAACTGCTTTGAAAAGCAAACACAATTCTGGTATTGTTAGTGCGAAAAATAAAACTGCGGTGCCTATAGCCATAAAAGCTAGAAGCCGTCGGGTATTAAAAGTTTTCAGTAAATATCCTTCTATAGTTAGGCCAGAAAAGTTTAGGTTAGGTAAGGAGCAATCACCGGAAGTTAAGAGACTCGAGCCGATTATATATGTAATTATAATTAATTATATAATTCGGGTAATCTCGATTATATAATGCCAACTGCCCTTGAAATTGGGGGCAGAAAAAGCTTTTAGAAACCACTTCGGCGGCGCAGTAATCCGTGCGATCAAGGATGAACTCGAAGTCCTCGAGAGCTCGAGAGTTTACAGACCTTAAACCGGTCAAGCACTCGGTTTCGCTAAGTCTTATGGCTGTTCGCACTGCGGCAGACTTGTCATCGGTGTCGACAACTTTGTGCGAAACAACCAATCTCTTTCCAATAGCTTACATATAGCAGTATAGGGAGGCCACTGATGCCTTCCTTGCCCTTTCCTCGATGTCCGGCCTCCACGACTGCTTCCTGCAAAGAATACAGCCCAAGTACTTTACCTTGGTAGACAGCTGAATTCGCTAACTTCTAACAGGGGGAAGACCAGGGATTTTATACTTTCTAGAGTGAATAAGACCAGTTCTGTCTTACTGAAGTTGACGGCGAGGCCGTTCATAAAGGGTACCCAAGTATCTAAATTTAGCCATGAGTGCAACAGTGTCTGCATAGGCAATTACTCGCGTTTCTCCAGCTCCTCTAGTAGATCGTTTGCCATTACGACACAAAGCACTGGTGGAAGGACGCCTCCCTGCGGGGTACTTCTATTCACGGTGCGAGGCAAGAAAGCGCTATCCCATATTGCCATGACAGTTCTGTCAAAAAGCAAGTTATGCATATGCCAAATGAGGCTATCTTCAACCCCTACATTATCAAACGAAATAACTATAGCCTCCCGCAAGAAGATATTAAAAGCCCATATTTTATACATATCTCAAGCCGACTGTTAAAAAGTGTGAGGTTAGTTTGAATGTGCTCCACAAGGCTGATATCACCACAGCATAGAAAATGTGACACGTGAGTTGAGCGAATTGTGCAGCATGCGATGTTATTACGGTTGTCAGTAGTTATTGCATAAATTTGGTATAGGACTCGTGATTGGATGGAGACTCCGACAATTTTCCTCCAGGTCCATACCATCGGTAAACAAATTGCTATCCACCGAAAGAGAAAGTAGGAGGATAAAGGACGGTAAACTAAAAAACAATTCTTTGAGCGCCTTTAAAAGTCATACCAAAATTGTCTAAGTGACGACATTAAAATCACACTGACAACTCAAACACCAGGGTCGACAAATAGGATGTACATATTTGGTCCAAAAGTAGGAAAATTCAGCATTCATCCGACAACGGAGAGAAGCTGATCGACGGCGTCGCGGCACGGAACATGGTAGTATTATAGAAGCAACAGGCAACAGCATCGAAACATCAACGAAGCCGCTTGGATGTCCCCTTTTGAAATAATGAAGAACCAAGTTCATCATGTTGTGATGGATGGAATATGCGGTCCGAGCATTCTTGTTGCGCGTTCTACCCGAGGAGCCAACATCCACTCGGATTACTACCATGCGTCAGATAAGGACCTCTGTGCAATGAACAACGTGCGTCAGGCAATGCGACGAAAGATCCACGTCGAGGCACTGCAGTCACAACAGACAGGGGAGAAATTTCGCTATCGACTCGCAATCTTTCTTAAATAAGACCGGGTATAAATGAGCATTGGGAATCCATCTCCTAAACGTTTATTGCCGCTGCAGAAAAGGTAGCTGGCTCCGCAGGAACAACTGCTCTGACGAAGAGTTCCGTGCTGATGCTACAGAGAAATACGAGGCCACTCGACGGCAAATAGCTATGAGGGGAGACGTCTATACAAAAATAAGAAACGAGAGGAAAAAGACGTGAGTGCAAATTTCTTAAGACAAGAATGCGGTTCGAAAATTCGACTGAAAATATGGCAGCAATCAAATGGTTTTAGGACCGGGCTGGTTTTTGCAGAGACACAGATGGGTCGGATGGGAAAAGATGTCCAGAGTACACTTGAGTTCTGTAGGAAACACCATTTAACGCATTTGATGGCACCATCGACGGCGCGTTTGATGAAGAAGAACCCAGACGAAGCTATAGGGACGACTTTTATTCAAAATTGGCCACGCAGATGCTTTACTGTCTGTGCTGTTCAGAGGAGAGCTAGTAGGGCGCATGTATCAAGTATTAAGAGAAATTCGGTCTGACGAATACATCCCCGATGATTGGAATCTGAGAGTACCGGCGACGTGTACTGCCGAATACGAAGAAGGAGGAGGCTTTTAAGAAGAGGAAGCGTTACAACCTGTTACGCAGTCAACACTTATGCCTAAATAGGGTGATGTAAAAGTGCCAACAGCTGCATTTGCTAACAAATGTAAGGAGCCATCAACAATGTTGTATGTAAGTACATAAAGCAGGTAAACGCAGAGCTTGTCTAACTGAATAGTCTGAATAGACGCAACCTGGATAAAAATCTGCGGTTTCGATCCCTTACGTAATGGCATGCCAGGTTTGAAAAGTAATTAAATTTCATAAAATTTTTTTGTTTTAAGATTCTTCTTATTTCGTTATAGGAAAATTTAAATGTAACCGTGCAATAATCGTTGTTATTATTTTAAAAATGATATGCGTTTACGCATACGCTGACTTGCTCTAATTGCCGTCAATTATTTTGTTCCATTCAGCGAAGCAAATGACCAAAAGGTTAAAAGCTCGTTGGCTTGGAAATGGTTGGTGAATTGGCGTTATGCGAAATTGAATTAAATGAGGCGTATGTTTTGAAATCTCAGCATATGCTGTCAGCGAATATAACAAATGTTCAGAGCAGTCTGCTTATTATCATTTCGTTAAGTAATGGAAAAGCGCGTGGAAAATTTTAAAATAAATTAATTTTTTAAAGAAAATATGACTCAACTTAACATAATAGTAAGGTGTTAAAAAATAAAAGAAAATAGAAAAATTGTAAATTTAATTAAGTAAAAAAAAAATGTCAACAAAAATTAAAATTTGTTTGTGAAATGCCGTTATTCTACTCGACATTAAATGGCGAAAATTTGATTGACGCTAACCAAAAGTTGTACATTGAAAAAACACCCTTATCACTACTTTCTGCCGTATTTCCACTGGGCACTAAATGACAAAAACATTTATAAAAAATTTGGACAATACCAAAAACACAGTGTCACGTTGAAAAACAAAAATTATTGAGTATTCATTTGAATGCCTAGTGGAACCACGTCATTACTATTAACGCTCATTAGGTTTGTTTCCGCATGGAGTTTTTTGAATGGCACAAATTTCTCGTCATTTAAAAGTTAGTAATAATTCGGCATAACATTGAACGTTGGTTAAAAGTAATATTTGCGTATATTTTATTTAGTATTTCTTTATTATTTAATATTTTTTAACTTTTCTTATTAATTTTTGTTAGTAATTTTTGTCATAAAAAACACACTGCAGACGAAAAGAAACGTTCAATACCACATAGAAATATTAACAGTTATTTCATAAGAAACAGCGCTTTTAAAAAAGAAGAAAATACAAAAAAAATTAAAAGTTTTCGAATAACTTGAATTTGTTTTGCCTTTCGAAAGACAACTAAAAGTTAGTGATTTTGAGCAAATTGTGTGACGAAATAGCCCGAAAGAGATTTAAACAAAAAAAAAAAAACGACTAAAAAGTAGAACATCAAAGCTAAAATAAAGTCACTTTTCATTTTTTTCTTCAATAAATACTTAGAGACCTGCCAGATAAAATTTCAATTTTTATTTGATCTTAGCATAAATAAATAACAACACAAAACGTAAATATTATTTTCAACGGGTACATGTCACTTACCAAATTTAACCACGCATTTGTGGTCAGAATCTGATTCTTTTCGTCCTATAAAAAATTTTAGACGCATTAATGTATTTCAAACTAGTTTTTTTTTATTAACTTGAAAATCAAAAAAACATTTTTTTTTATTTCTTGTTAGACAATTTGCCGCCGTTTTGGCCTTTTGTCATCTATGCAGTTGTATTTTGTGTTTATTAACCTTTATTTGTGTTTGTTGAAAAATTTGCTATTTTTCATTGGATTTTTTTTTTCTTTTTAAAATGATTATTTTTTGTTAGTTTTGAAAAAATAATTAGTTTTTCAAAAACAAAATGTTGTCTCTTTTATGTGTGTTGTGCAATTTTGGATTTCCAAACACTTACCACATCAATAATCTGTTGCAGTGTTAGGCCGAATTTGACTTCTAGCGGTTCCGATTCGTTCGCTACGGGTCGTTCGAGTGTATTATAGGTGGATAGAAGGTGGTTAAGTAGACGTTTTTCGTGTGGTCCTTGGCAGCTTTCTGGAAATGAAAATCGATAGAAAAAGGTTTTTAGAAAATATGCCCTAAAAACGAGCACACAGTAGATAGTATGCAGATAGTTGTACAAGTGAACAGTTATATACATATGTATTTCATAACTAGGCGCTTCTATTCGTTAATAATTTAAGGACGTATGTATATTTACGTATTTTATATTCGTATTTTATATGCGGGGAGAAAAATTGTTTCCTAGAAATGGTATTGACTTCGTTAAAATCAATATTTTTCGATCGGGAAAGTTTGTTTATCTTCAGGCGCTCAAATTTAAGAACCTTTAGAAACTATTGCTAGAGTTAAAAATTTGTTTAACTTCAGAGGTTAGGTAGATCTGTTTAAATTTTTGTTTGGATTTTTAAGCTTGATGGAGTACATTTTAATCCAGCTCGAAAAGTGGAATAATTGCAAGGAATAATGCAGTGAAGAAGGTTAGGTTATGTTGGGAGGGCGTGTGTGGAATATTTATTCTGTACTTTCACTCGGAGACAGAATTGTCCATTGTGAGTGCCCCCTTTAAGCGAGTGTCTGGAGGAAATATCTAGATACCCATAATCGAGAGAGTAGCTTCAAGGTACTATTTTACTGAACTAATTACTATAATGAAGCCAAGGAGATCCAAGAGGGCTATATCGCCCAGAATGTTGAAGAAGCGTGAACCCAAAATCTTGAGGCGCTTGGTCTGTAGCCCTGTAGCCTAATTTTCATCACGGCAGCTTCTGTAGGGCGTACTTGTTGGTATCGCCATCGTTGAAGAATTGGTGCTTTAGCACAGTGTACTGCGATGAAACCGGTCAAGGCCTTTACTGAAGACCTTTTGAGGTTCAGTAAGTTCCTCGTCCACCGTAGGAAACTACTAAGCCGCGGTCATAATAACTCTGTGATCTCACAGTCTTCGCGTTTGTTTCACAAGTCATTAGTCGCGGCCATGGTGTACTCCTCTATTTTCCTAACGTGATTACTAAACGGTGGTAGTACGTAGCTATCCGCTTCTTCTGTTGGCCACTCTGAGCAATTCCCATTTCGCCATTTCTATGTGATTCCCGATTTTACTATTTTAGATCCTATTGCTTTCAGTGCTGCTTCACATCGACAAAGATAGTTGCTTCATTTTCTGGAACCCTACTACTAAATAATGAACTAGCCACCTTTTACATGGTGTAGTTATCTGCTTGGAAGATGCTGCAATCGTTCGGCAGACGAAAGGACTAGTTGATCTGCAGATCCTTCGAGTAGAGACCGTCTCCGGTCGCTTGTTCCATCTTTGAACCATCAGTGTAGATGGGTATACCTCCCTTTGCTACTTACTGTCAGTCCTGCATCCTATTCTATTTGTTTCCCCGAATGTCGACAGAGAAAAAGTGGGTTCTAGTAACCAATACCAGTTCTGCCTTGGAGCGGTTAACCTCAATCTATTTTGGCTGGCCCATTTAGATATATCACCCAGTCACCCTCCATTAGTTCACTTATCGTTGATGAGTGATGAGCATCACTAAATCGTCGGCATAGGCGACAACCCTTATTCTCCTAGTTTTAATAATTCCCAGAAGTTCGCCACTAACAGCTATAGGAGAGGGGATAGCACACCCCCTTGAGGCGTGCCACTGGTGGCATTCCTTCTCACCGGTCCCGTGTTTATGGTCGCGTTGATTACTCTGCTCTTGAGCATTGAGCCAATTCATGTCTATATGGTACTTGGGAAGTAGTAAAGATATTACCTTGGTGGAAAAAGCCAATTAGTACGTAGGAGCACTATGAATTTTAAGTTTTGTGTAAATCTTATGCTTATACTTTCTTCTAAATAAACATATGTATGTACACACATATGCACGAGTACTTGGTCATCACCTTGAAAATGATTTTGTTTTTAATTGCATCATTTCAACCAACACATTGGCAGCAGTTTCATCTCAGTTATAGGAGTTTTTCTTGAAAGCAGCCTACTGCAGTAGAACACACAGCTAGGCACAAGTTGTAATCATAACAAATATTTTCATAAAAGAAACTCATACCAAATATTAGCTTTGTTTTCGTTTTTTTTTTTTTAATTTGACGAGGGTATGATTCACTTCATTTCAATACGAAGGTCAAATGTAAGTGCCGTAAGAGTTTGTTGAGTGGATACTTGGGAAGACGTGCCTCATTATTTTTCCTCATTTCTTACAAACAAATATAGAAAAATAAGTAATGGCGTTCTAAGAACATTCGCCAAAATTATTTTTGCTGCGGAATGCAAACAAAAAAAGAAATACATAAAATGCAACGAAAAGTTGGCTAATGGTCAAACACACCGAAATTTAATATGAAAAATGACAAGAGTAATCATATTTGGGAAGAAGCGGCAAAGCTGTGCATACAGTTACTAATGAGCAACAAAATATTAAATTATAAACAAAGAAGTACAGTAGAACGACGATTATGTAATTCAAACTTAACTCTTACCAGTTATCAATCTTAGACGAGAATCGATTCTTGCAGCAAAATTTTTCCATTCATCCTGTTCAAAAAAGTTAAACCAATGGATATTATGGATATTAAATTAAAGAAAAAATTGTGTACAATTAAAGCCGATTAAACCTTTTGATACATAAGGACGATTAGGTGTAGAAAATGTCCTTTTAAGTTCTATCCTTGAATAACCTTGAAATTTTGCACTAATTATATTTGAAAAAATTATAAGGACTCAATAATACACACTTGATCACATACTCGAAATTTGTCCTTCTAAATTTATTATCTTAAAAAAATAAAATTAAACAAAAATGCATTTTTAATACCTATTCCTCCTTGCAAACCAAAAATTTTCGTATTTGTTGTTCAACATTACACTGAATTTTTTAAATAATTGTTGGAATCAATCATCAAAGTCTTTCTAAGAAAAAAATTCTGGCGTCAGAGAGAAAAACTAAAAATGCAGTTTTACTATATTTGGCCAATAGTTTTGTGAGTATGTTTCGAAATTTCTTTGTTTTTGTCAATCGATTGCGGGGAAAAAAGTATGCAGTAAGAGCAGGTATGTACATCTCCAGCGTCAGTGCTCGGTACAGCATTGTGGAATGAATGTATAATGGTGCAATGGTCTGCTGGCTTCGCTGAAGTTATTGCGCTGGTTGTGCTGACTGAACACCTGAAAAATATTGAGATAAAAGCGAAGACGGCGCCAGCGATGCCCAGCAGAAGAATGGGCAGTATAGATTTATGCATGGCGTCAGAAAAAAACCGAATAGGCCACCACACTGAGAAGATCCTTTTTCACCCTAACATACACATAAAGATCAACTATTTACATTATTGGTAATCGTAGCCCATTGGATGTAACTGATCCCTTGAGAAAGACCTTAAAACTAAATACATATAACCCGCATTCTAAAATGGTCAGTCCAACATTGTGCACAAGTCCTACACTTGTAAACATAACCTATCTGAAAAAAGAAACATCCGGCACACAAAAGGGGCAAACTTTACTCTTAATAGAAGATAAACAGAAAGTTGAACGTCTTTAATGGGTGAATGCAATTTTTTAAGTTTGAGGGAAATGCAATATTTTGCTGTCCAAGATGAAACGCCGGCTACAAACATCCGCTTAAGAGCCGTCGGGATAATTTGTGCTGGCGTAATTATCAGCTGTACCACTTAAAGGGGTTTTACTGTAAAACAATAGAATGTTATGCAGTCCCACGGTAATGCAATTGGCATAGCACAAAGTCGAAAATAATATATATATTTTTTTTAACTCACACAAAACAAAACTCAGCAGCCAAGTTTCATAATTATAATTTGGCAGCTAACGCAGCACTTTGTTAATTGCAAACTGGACACATAATTATGTGCAAATATGTTTTAAATGAGTTTGCAGAAGACGAGGGTAAAACAGGAAACAACAATGCAACTGGGGAAAGGAAGGAAAGGAACAAAATTTTAGTGAAAAATGTCATAATTTGCTGCGCCACTTTAGCTGAACGAAGAGTTAATGACAAAGTTAACATTTCCATGCTAACGCGAAAAAACATGCTATTTATGTATGTACATATGTATAAGAAGTTGCGTAGCAGTGCGGATATTCCAAGGTATTCAACCTAACTAAGGGTACATTGAGGCGAAAGTAGTCTCGTACAAGCGGAAGGGGAATGGTAAGATTCCATAACTACTACATATATATGGGGCGTACCATACCAAAATGAATGGGGTTCACACTTCATGTGTTTGATTTGTTTTACATTTTTAGGGTTGATGGATAAACATAAATAATAAACAAATATGAAATTTGAGCTTGATTGATATACTTTTTAAAACTTTACAGCACAAAAACAAATCGATTTTATAGTTTTCCAAATATCTCGAGAACGGAGTGAGAAAAAAATTTGAAATAAATAACACATATACACATAAAAAATCTCTATGAAAAGAAATATTTTTAAAATCGTTTTCTTGAAAAATTTTTCACGTGCAAATTCTTTGATAAAGGGTGCACTCTATAATAATTTGAGTTATGATTTTTTTTTACACCGAAGTTGAGTAAAATGAGTACATTACAAATTTACGACGGCTGACGGCTTTTGCACTTTTTTCTTATGGAAGAAAATGCGTAATATCGTTTTCAAAGAAAATTAAAAAAAAAAAAATTAACGCCAGTTTTGCAATCGCTTAAAACTGCATACTGAAAAAATTCTAAATAAAATTTAAAAAATTTGTAAATTCGTAATGTACTCGTTTTGTTCAACTTTGGCGTAAAAAAATGTATGTATGTATATGTAAAATCTATAAAAAGCCGGGACCGAATATAATCGTTAATGTGAAGGATCCTTATTTTAAAATCATTGCAAAATCGTAATTTTTTATTTATATATTTACGATAGTTTTTAATCGTTATCGCCTGGTTCAACCTAACATTAAAAATAAAATCGGCAGGCAATGGCAAACCTCCGAGTGCATTTCTGTCATGAACAGCTTCTCATAAAAATACAATCGCCGTTCGGAGTCGGCGT